CACCAGAGGCTCACCCCATTGGCAACAAGCGGCACCCTGCCTTGGTCTGGTGCCCCACTCACCTGCTCCACCATCCCGCCATGGCAATGCCCACCATGTTCCATGCTCTGCCAACTGCTGCCAACACCCACCATGTTCTGCGAGTGCCCCTTGGTGGTCAGTGCACATCACAGCGACTGGGTGTTCGGTTGTTTGGTTGTTCCACTGTTCAGTCTATTTGCATATTTATATACTAGGGGCCAAGTGCACAAAATTCATGCACAGGGGTTCCCTCAGCCCAGCCTGCACCCTCTCCATTGGGGACCCCTTGGGGGATATCCAACTGCTAATTTAGGTCTTATCCCGGTATCGGGCCGAAACCATCAGTCAGACATCCTTCTCGCAATCTGGGACCACTGGCTCCTAACTGCTCACCTGCCTGATGGCTGAATGCCCCTAACCACTCTACCTGCTTGCCTGATTGCCCCTAACCACTTCTGCCTGCCTCTGTGATAACCCATAACTTCTCCCCTGCCAGCTTGATTGCCCCCAACTGCTCTCCCCTGCTGACCTGGTTGCCCCTAACTGACCCCCTACCAGCCTGGTCACCCCCAATGGCCCTCCCCTGCAGGCCTGATCTCGCCCTCAACTACCCTCCCCTGCTAGCCTGGTTGCCCCCAACTGCCCTCCCCTGCCGGCTCACAGTTCACCCAGATTTGGTTCTGATTCGTCAGTTTCTATGCCATTCAGCGTCAAAAGCTCCGCCTCCTAGGCAGCCATTGGCTCCTCACAGTTCACTGAGATTTGGTTCTGATTGTTTGGTTTCTATGCTATTCAGCATCTCCGGGCCTATCTCTGGGCCTGATCAAAGAGGCAGGGTTGATCAGCAGCCCCAGCGGAGGCCCAGAGAGAAACTGAGGCACCGCTGTAGGGAAACCTGGAGAGAAAGAAATAGGTAATGGCTGATCAACAGCTGGCACGGAGGCTGCCTCTTTCTTTGGCCTCTCTATGTGCCTGATCCACAGCCTCCTTGGCAGTCAGTGCTGGGTTGCCGTGGCAACCCAGCACTGACTGCAGGACTTATTTCGTGTGTTCTGTGGAGCCTTTGGTTGGTCATTACGGACCCTGAGTTTTTATATATTAGGATTATCAAGTCAATGTTCCAATTTCCAACTGTCTCATAAGTGTTTTGTTTTTACAGCTTGTTTTTTTGAATCAGAATCCAAATAAGGCCCATATATTGCAACAGAGTTGACATGTCCTGTAACCTTCTTTTAATCTATAGAATTTCCTTCCATATGAACACAAAGATTTTTATACATAATATATAAGTACAGTTGTGGTCCTATAAATAGGAGATTGTCAGGATGAAATACAACTGAAGGATGTGGTAAGAATGAACTCAGCACACACAAACATGCACACACACCCCTGGAATAGGAGATTTGGTACCAGAAGTACTAGGACCATCTTCACTCATAGAGAGTCCATCGACCAGCTCTCATTTTGCTGAACATCAGCTATAGGTGAGCCGCTGGACTCTACATTATGAGAGAACAAGAGGCATTTAATAAGAGGACATTATCCTGCCTCCAAGTCCTTAGAGTCAAGTAGAGTAAATAACATTAAATGTTTGAAAAGTTCCATGGTAGTGCAATAATTAAATGAACAGAGCAGCAACCCAGGATATGTTCATGAATCATTGAACCATTTGAATTTTTAGGTCATTCTTCATTTTTTTCCTGGATCTATATATTACCTATAAGTTCTTCCAAAGCAAACAATTCTAATCTAAATTCTATTCAGACAACCAAACCACCTGACCAAGATAATATGGTCCATTTAGTTGGTCTGAATAACTATAGTAATTTCTAGTCAATAAATGCTTTTGAACAACCCCCCTATGACCCACATTATACAAGGTGATGTGGATCATGGGATAGGTATGTAGCACATACTTCCCCTCCTGTACATCATAATTACTTTGGGAGCTAAGATTTATACACATAAAATGACTAAATTAGAGAGAAAGTGCTCAGAGTTTTTCAGTGGGTGAATAGGGGAGCGAGTCCTATGACATGGACCTGACCCTTCAAATTTCATTATTGCTGTGCAACCCCAGGCCCTGTTTCCTTTCCTAAAGGCTCAGATTCCTCTGCAAGTATTCAGGAGAAGGATTAGTCTCTACAGAGACATTTACTGCCACTGGGAATACTATTGATTCTCTATACATAGCTGTGACACTTTTTTACTTAAGACTTTTAAAGACAGTTAAACTTTGGTTATATTTGCACACAAAACAGCAACAAAACTTATTGAGATGTTTAGAGGTAATAGAGGTTACAAAACAGCAGCCCACAGTCTGAACATGGCTTCTAGATATGTTTTATTTGGTCTAGTTTGAATCAGTTGCTAATATTTTCAAATCAACCATCCTATATAATAAAAGGCTAATATGCAAATTGACTGAACAGTAGAAAGACCAGTCGCTATGATGCGCACAGGGGGCAGACGCTCAACACAAGAGATGTGCCCTGGTGGTCAGTGTGCTCCCACAGGGAGAGCGCCGCTCAGCCAGAAGCCAGGTTCACAGCTGGTGAGCACAGCGGCAGTAGCAGGAGCTTCTCCCGCCTCTACAGCAGCACTAAGGATTTCCAACTGCAGCCTTAGGCCTGCTTGCCCTATAGGGAACGGGCCTAAGCTGTCAGTCAGACATCACACAAGGTGTCTGGGACTGCGAGAGGACACAGGCCGGGCTGAGGGACCCCCCCTCCCCTGAGTGCACAAATTTCATGAACAGGGCATCTGGTTTCACATAACACTCCAGATGTCCCCTGTAACCTCAAACATTCAGACACATTGGATATGGGTTTCTGTCTGAACAGTTTGCTGTGGCTGAATGGCAGGTGCTGGATAGTCCTCCAGAGTCACATCACTTCACCTTTACACTTGTAGCTTCTTGCCTGGGCCCTGGAGGTCTATGAGTCTGACACCCTCAGTCTATCCAAAAATTTTGCCTATTGAAGTGTTCTAAAATTCTTTCTTAGCCATGCTTCATTACTATGCAGGATGAATGATAGATCTGCATTTCTCTGTTGCTTGTTTACACAAATGTTATGATTTTGGAGTGCCTCTACCAGGCAAAGAAATGGAATTCACAGGTTCACTAAATCTAAAATACAGTCTCTTGCTCCAAAATGCACTACTCCACTAGCCATTCCTCTTCTGGTACAATTAAGAAGTTAAAAACGGAAGTATCTGAGTTCTTGTGATTGTATTTCTCTTAACACTGTATTTTTATTAACTGGCAACTTATTTGCTCTTACCTAATAAGAAAGAAATATATATTCATTGTAGAAACTTTGAACAATGCAAAATGCATAAATTATCTTAGTCATATTTTATTCTAGTCTTCTTCTATACATATATACTTTGCAAAGTGGTGTCATAATAATATAATTGAAGTTAATCTTCTTTCATTTAATAATGTAAAATGAGTACTTCCCTATTCCAGTAGCTACTATTTGAAAATGTAATTCCTAGTGGCTGCTAAATATTTTTAACACAGGGATATACTAAAGTGTATTTAACCATTTTTGTACTGGATTTTAAACTGTTTTATTTTCTTCTTGATTTTAATAAATAGCACTGTAATGAATATTTTGTATTTATATCTTTGTTCCCATTTTTGATAATTTTTATGGGATGCATTTGTAGGAATAGTATATGTATTTTCATAACTTTAAAAATATATAATGATAATAAACAATGCTTTGAGAATTGTCCTCTCATCAACATTTGTGCATGCATGATCAAAAGCTGTGATGAATCAAATTCATTCATCTACTAAGGATTGTAGTAATCAAAACTGTCTTTGTGTTTCCAGGCATTTTCAGATGAATTTGACCGAAGGGCTAATGGAAATTCCACCAGTGACAAAATTCCCAAGGCTCAGAATACACAAGGTTCAGCAAAGATATCTTTTCATTTTTTTCCTTTATTTATTTATTTAATTCGTTTCTTGTTGTTCTTTTTTGGGGTTCAGAAAAAATATTAAATTAAGAAATTATTTATAGTTGTTAAATGACTACTTAATGATAAGTGAAAGATGGCAGTGATGATTTTTATGAAAAAATATATTTGTGATAAAGGAGATATTAAATTATCTTCCATACACCCGAGCATGCAAGACACTGGCCATAATTGTGCAATCTTGAGCGGAAGATTAAACAATCCAAGTTAGATAATCTGTACAGAGGGCTTTAAGTAGTGATGAGGCTAGTATTTCCTAAGGATGATGTGACCTGTGTTTTTGGAAATAGACACATTTAAAGAGACAATACCAACCAAATGCTGCTTCTCTGTCAAATTTGCTGTTACATGTTTGGCTTTATCCTATTTGGAGTTTTCTGAGGCTTCTTGAATCTCAATATGTATGTCTTCCATCAAATTTGGGAATTTTTCAGTCATTTGTTCAAATATTTTTCCTGCACTTGTCTCTCCCTTATCTCCTCTGGTGCTCCAATAACATGAATGTTAACCCTTTCGATAGTGCACTGCCAGTCCCTGAAGATCTGTTTTTTTTCTTTTAGTCTTTTTTTCTCTGTTCTTCCGATTGGATAATTTTTATTGATCTACCTCCAAGTTCACAGACTCATTTCTCTGTCTACTGTTGAGCTTATCCAATGAATTTTTAAAATTTCAGATATTGTATTTTTAAGTGCTAAAATGTCCATTTGATTCTTAATTTATAATTTATATTTCTCTGCAGAGACTCCTATTTTTCCACTCATTCCAAATAATTTCCACTCATTTAAATATATTTACTTTGACCTCAGGGAGCATATTTATAGTAGATACTTTAAAGCCTTTGATAAGTCCAACATCTGGATCATCTTGTCATAAGCATCTATATTGAGTATCTTCACCCTTGAGAACTGCTCACATTTTCTTGGTTCTTTGTATGACAAGCATTTTGGGATAATAGACTGGTTATTTTCATTATTATGTTGTGACACTTGGGTCTTGTTAAAAATCTCCTGGAAAATTGTAATTGTTTTAGCAGGCAGTCCGTCAGTTAAGTTCATCCTAACAGTTCTGTCTCACCTTCTATGGGCAGCGTTCGCATGTCACTTCAGTTCTCAGAGCCTTTGCTGTGCTTCTTGGGACGGCTCTCCCATGTGGAGCTCCGCAGTGGGCTTAGGATTTATTCCAGTTTGTCACAGAACCGGGGCCCACCTTCTCCAGCTATCCCCTCAGCAGAACTCCCCTCACACTCTTGGCTTGCAGGAGCCCATTTTCTAGGCCTCTCCCCAGAGAGACAGTGGTCTCTTGGCATTTAAGTTGCTTGTTCTGTTGCTACATAACTTTGTGTGATCAAGGTTGTCCTCGGGCAAAGTGGGGAGAGAGAAGAGAGAAAAATAACAGGATTTCCCACACACAGCCATGTACACTTTTCAGACTGCAGGGACCCTTTTCCTTGTATCTTCTGGACAAAAATACAGAACTCCAAGAGCTTTAACTCCTTGTGGTGCCACTATGGAGTTCTGCAACTGGGGTCACCTTAGGAATAGGGCCTGGATTTAAAAAAATAAATATGGAAAATAAGGAAGATCCCTGCCATACTCTTCAGCTCTCAGGACCCCCTTTTCTCAATTCTCTGGCCACAAAGACAGGGATCCTCTGAGAGTTTTGCTACCTGTGCTCGTTGTGCAGTTCCAAAGCTGGGAGGGTAAGAGGAAAATTACAAAACTTCCCTCTTTACAGGTTGCCTCTTCAGGTTTTGACTCCCCTTCCCAATCTGCCTGCTGTTTATTTTTCAGTCCTCACTTCGTAGAGATTGTATTTGTCCCTTGTTTTAGTTGTAATCAGTTGGAAAGATAGGCTCTCGCCGGCTGACTTCACCTTGGCCAGCACCAGAAGCCCATGTTTGATATGTTTTATATTTTTAATGCTTTTTCAGAAACAGACCGTACTTGGGGCTAAGGGTCAGGACCATTTTAAAGGCCAGAGATACAGGGTTTGGGATGGAGACGGAGAGAAGTGTGGGAAGGCCACATGTGAGTAGCATGAACCTTAAGTCATTCTTGCTATTGTTAACTTCATTATTAACTCCATTTTTTCTTTTCAGGTTTGTATGGGACTGTTACCAGCCCTGCTTCAGGAGTGCATGAAATGAAAATTGGCCCCATCACCTTCCAGGTGGCCACTGGAGATATTGCTAAAGAATCAGCAGATGTGATTGTGAATTCAACAACAAAGACATTTGATCACAAAGCAGGTACTTTACTTGTAGGACTTTTGCTACAGTAATGGTCACAGTAGATCCCTTGAAGGAGGGTTTCTATAACCAAACTATTCTACAGTTGCTATAGCCAAACTGGTTTCTACAACTTTGGCTTAGTAATATGAATTAGTAATTTTAAAATTATTTTGACATGGTTTCCTATAAACAACTTTGGAGTAATATGAATTAGTAATTTTAAAATTATTTTGACATGGTTTCCTATAATTGGTAACAGTTTTTTCATGAATTTTTCTTCTTTTGATCAGAAATGCCCAGGTTGGAGACAGCGTCTCAGCCTCGCCGCCGCTGCCACCCAGAGACTGCTGAATCCCTGTCCGTCCAACTGCCGCCATCTACTCCAGACACAGAACATCCAGTCATGGATAAAAGTGAGCTGGTGCAGAAGGCCAAACTGGCCGAGCAGGCTGAGCGATATGATGACATGGCAGCCTGCATGAAGTCTGTAACTGAGCAAGGAGCTGAATTATCCAATGAGGAGAGGAATCTTCTCTCAGTTGCTTATAAAAATGTTGTAGGAGCCCGTAGGTCATCTTGGAGGGTCGTCTCAAGTATTGAGCAAAAGACAGAAGGTGCTGAGAAAAAACAGCAGATGGCTCGAGAATACAGAGAAAAAATTGAGACCGAGCTAAGAGATATCTGCAATGATGTACTGTCTCTCTTGGAAAAGTTCTTGATCCCCAATGCTTCACAAGCAGAGAGCAAAGTCTTCTATTTGAAAATGAAAGGCGACTACTACCGTTACTTGGCTGAGGCTGCTTCTGGGGATGACAGGAAAGGGGCTGTGTACCAGTCACAAAAAGCATACCAAGAAGCTGTTGAAATTGTCAAAAAGGAAATGAACTAACACAACCTATCACATTAACTTCTCTGTGTTCTATTATGAGACTCTGAACTCCCGGGAGAAAGCCTGCTCTCTTGCAAAGACAGCTTTTGATGAAGCCAGTGCTGAACTGAATACATTAAGTGAAGAGTCATACAAAGACAGCACACTAATAATGCAGTTACTGAGAGACAACTTGATATTGTGGACATCGGATACCCAAGGAGATGAAGCTGAAGCAGGAGAAGGAGGAGAAAATTAACCAGCCTTCAAACTTTTGTCTGCCTCATTCTAAAATTTACACAGTAGACCATTTGTCATCCATGCTGTCCCACAAATAGTTTTTTGTTTACGATTTATGACAGGTTTATGTTACTTCTATTTGAATTTCTATATTTCCCATGTGGTTTTTATGTTTAATATTAGGGGAGTAGAGCCAGTTAACATTTAGGGAGTTACGTTTTCATCTTGAGGTGGCCAATATGGGGATGTGGAATTTTTATACGAGTTATAAATGTTTGGTATAGTACTTTTGGTACATTATGGCTTCACGGGGCTAGTGTTAAAATTGCTTCCATGTCTAAGCAAAGAAAACTGCCTACATATTGGTTTGTCCTGGTGGGGAACAAAAGGGATAATTGGTTCCAGTCACAGGTGTAGTTGTTGTGGGTACTTTAAGTTTTGGAGCACTTAGAGTGCTGTGTTAGAAGTGGATATCCCATGGGTAGTCCATGCTGAACCATGTGTGTATCTGTGGAATACTCAGTCTCAGTGCGCACACCTTCGACTACAGCTGCAGAGTGTTCCTTTAGTTGTGACCCATTTAACTCTGGATAAGGGCAGAAACGGTTCACATTCCATTATTTGTAAAGTTACCTGCTGTTTGCTTTCATTATTTTTGCTACACTCATTTTATTTGTATTTAAATGTTTTAGGCAACCTAAGAACAAATGTACAAGTAAAGATGCAGTAAAATGAATTGCTTGGTATCCATTACTTCATGTATATCAAGCATAGCAGTAAAACAAAAAACCCATGTATTTAAATTATGTTAGGTGTTTGTTTTTTTTTTTTTTGCTTTTGTGATTTTTTATTTTCTTGATACTTGCCCAACATGCATGTGCTGTAAAAATAGTTAACAGGGAAATAACTTGAGATGATGGCTAGCTTTGTTTAATGTCTTATGAAATTTTCATGAACAATCTCAGCATAATTGTTAAGAACAAATGTATTAAGTTCATGTAAGTGGAATAAAAGTTTTATGAATGGACTTTTCAACTACTTCTCTACAGCTTTTCATGTAAATTAGTCTTTTGGTTCTGAAATTTCTCTAAAGGAAATTGTACATTTTTGGAAATTTATTCCTTATTCCCTCTTGGCAGCTAATGGGCTTTTACCAAGTTTAAATACAAAGTTTATCATAACAAAATACTACTAACAGAACTACTGTTCCCAACCACGTCCCATACTCCCCATCCTCCCAGCCCCCCAAACTCCCTGAAAAAAAGGTGTTGGGTTTGTTTGTTTGTTTTCAGAGGTGTGGGGATTGATTGGAAAAAATAATATGTTCCATTTAAAATTGTAGTATGGCATTCTCTAACTTGGAAGCCACAATGTTCTTGGCCCATCATGACATTGGGTAGCATTAACTAAGTTTTGTGCTTCCAAATTGCTTTTGTTTTTAAGAATTTCTTGATACTCTTATAACCTGCCTTCAACTTTGATCCTTTATTCTTTCTATTTGTCAGGTGCACACAGGATTATCTTTTTCAGCCTTCTGTCTGTCACCAACCATTATTACTTGGTGGCCATGTACTTGGAAAAAAGGCCGCATGATCTTTCTGGCTCCACTCAATGTCTAAGGATACCCTGCTTCCTTTGCTTGCATCCCATAAACTATTTCCCTCATCCTATTTACTGCAGCAAATGTCTCCTTGTTTTATCTCCCTGTGAAACTCCACCTATCCGGAATGGTCTGTCATTGGCTGCCTTTCAAATCTTTTTTCCTCTCTTCTTTAAATAATGGGGCTAAGTTATACCCAAAGCTCGCCCTACAGACTATTTCCTAAGTACCTTGCAAAAACACCAAATAAAAATACCATTTTAAAAGAGGTGTATTTTTTCTTTTAGAATGTAAGCTCCTCAAGAGCAGGGACAATGTTTTCTTGTATGTTCTATTGTGCCTAGTACACTGTAAATGCTCAATAAATATTGATGATGGGAGGCAGCGAGTCTTGATGATAAGGGGGAGAAACCGAAATCCCAAATACTGTTTTGTTGCTTGTTTCATTATGACCTCAGATTAATTGGGAACTATCAGCCTTTTGGACAATTGTCCCAAATATTACATTCAAATAAAAGTGCAATGGAG